ACCACAGATTTCCTCATCACTGCCGTCAGCACAGTCTGCGTCTCCATCACAGACAAAGGATTCTGGGATGCAGCGGTTTTTATCGCAGCGATGACCGCAGCCCTCCTCTGGCTTGAAGCAGTCGACTTCATCCGAGCGTTCCTGACACTGAGCCACACCATCACACAATTGCCGTCGCTCGATGCACTTCTTACCATGTGCACACTGAAACTGACCTGAGAACAGACGGAAAATTATATTTTTTATATTTTGCAAATTTTAAATAATAATAACAACAAATAATAATAATAATAATAATAATAGCCTAATAAATTAGGGAGCCGTGCCACGTGTTGTCACTAAGATTTAATTTGACCAACAGTGTTGAGATTTCTGATGTCAAATTAATTCAATCTCTCATTAATTCCTGCTTCATCGTGAGCAAGAATATCAGAGCTCAGCACACAATTTTATACCAAAGTTCAACGAGAATATTTAAGGCCAGTTAGTAAGTATATTTCTTCTCTTTCAAAGAAAATAGTCCCAAAAGAAGCCAAAGCATCAAGCTATCAAATTATGCACAGACTGGATGTAAATAAATACATTATTGGAGTATTGTCTTACTTCATCAAAGCATAATATCTTACTTTTTGTGCCACTGCATTTAATAAATATCGTTCCTCACTGATCATTCATTTGAAAACATGATAGTGGTGTCTGATAGAATCATTCTTTACCATAGAGTGGGTATAGAAAAGAATCACCCCCCTTTAAAATAATTACATTTTGTTGCTTTGCAGCCTGAAATGATGGACACAGTTTTTGTTTTATCTGCTGTATTTACTCAGTGCAACTTATAACATCCAAGTGAAAGATATAACACCATGTAAGAAAAAAAACAAAAAAAACAACAAATCAAATCAGTTGGAAAAAGGATCACCCCTTCGTGTCAGTATTTGATGGTGAGTGTTTGTGGACTGCAGTCTTCAAGTCATTCCACAGTTTTTCAGTGGGGTTTAAGCCTGGATGCAAGGATATGCACCTTTTTCTCCTTCAACCACTGTGTGCTCAGTTTTCATGTGTGCTTTGGGCCATTGTCATGTTGGAAGATAAACCTTCTTCCCATTGACAACTTTCTGGTCTTTTGACAGTGCCTTGCCACCCATAGTTGATTGTTTGCTTCAGTTGCACTACCAAGGACTGAAATGCTGCAGGAAAGCTCTTTTCATGCTGAGCTAATCAAAATGAGCACAGCTCATGACAGCTGAAAGTCAAACGGCTTTGTGTGCCATTGAGAAGATGAATAGCTACACCTGACTGAGTTTACAATTCAAGTTATTCTTAGGAGGGAGTGATCCTATTTCCAACTTCTGGTTTCCAGATTCTGTTTTTTAAATATTTTTTCTGACATGTTGGTGTTATCTTTCACTTGGGTGTTATAAGTTGCACTGAGTAAATACAGCAGATAAAACAAAAACTGTGTCCATTTTTCATTTCAGGCTGCAAAGCAACAAAATGTGATTATTTTAAAGGGGGGTGATTCTTTTCTATACAAACTGTATATATTCATCATCGATCCAATTTGTTTCTATCAATAACCAATTTTAACCATGTTCATATTTATTAACAGGATAAATTAAAGTGTATTCAACATGATCAGATTTATCTTGATTCTAAGCCATTTGAATCAATGCATTTTGGAAAATATGAGTAAGCAAAATAGATGCAAATATTAAATAAATTATGCCTTTTTTGAGTGCAGAAATCTTGCATGTTTAATTTATGTATAACTGACAAATATGCATCACATTATGTTTAGTAGTTTAAAACTTAATAGTTCTTTGTTAAAAATGTGTAAAAAGATGGAAATTTCAAATGCAATTCAAATAAATACATCTTATATAAATGTGTATTCTAAGCCCCTTGGAAATCAATTTGAGGACCAAAAGCTGTTCCCTAACAAAAATGTTTATTGAAATAAAAACATGCCTATGCTGCAGACAGCGGCACATACATCTTCATCAGAGCCGTCAGGACAGTCATTCTCACCATCACACACATGACTGTACAGCACACACTCGGATCCGTCCTTACAGGGTTTGAAGCCCAGTCTGCAGTGCAGGGGAACACGATCAGAAGCCACTGCAGCCTGCACACATTCAGCTAGAGCACAAACAAGTCAAAGCAAGTGAATCTCACACTCTAAAAAATGCTGGGTTAAATACAACCCAGTGCTGGGTAAAATAGGGACAAACCCAGCAATTGGGTTGTTTTGACCCAGCGGTTGGGTTAAATGTTTAACCCAACCTTCTGGGTAGTAACCCAACCGCTGGGTCAAAACAGCCCAATTGCTGGGTTTGTCCCTATTTTACCCAGCACTGGGTTGTATTTAACCCAGCATTTTTTAGAGTGTACTACTACTAGCCTACTACTACTACTAAAATAATGAATACACGTAAGTACGGTAATAATGGTAATTTACATTTAATAATTGATTAAATTCCATAATTTAATTAATATTAAAAACATTAGTAGGCTTCATAAAATTCATTCATTATTATAATAGCCTATCAAATTCAATTATTTTATTATTTATAATTCTATCATATAGTTAGTTAATACCACTGATCTATATAATGTTCTCTAGATCAGTGGTTAATACTTATTTATAAAAGTTAATTGGTAACACTTACAATAAGGTTAATTAGTTAACATTAATTAGCATGAACTAAGCATGAACAATACTTCGACAGCATTTATTATTTAATGTTAATTTCAACATTTACTAATGCATTATTAAAATCAAAAGTTGTGCTTTTTAACTTTAGTTAAAGCACTGAATGAACATGAACGAACAATGAACAATTGTATTTTCATTAACTAACATGAACAAAGATTAATAAATACTGTAATAAATGTATTGTTCATTGTTCGTTCATGTTAGTTAATACATTAACTAACATTAATTAATGGAACCATATTGTTACCAGGGTGTGTTAACAGTTAATTAATAAAAGTAAAACCAAATACTTTCATCATTTCCTGTTATTACTTCAGCAGAGCTGCGATAAAGTGCTGCGCTCTCTTTTAAATTCAAAATAAAAAAATATCCATAGAGGGAAGAAACGCGTAACAATGTAGCAGGCACGTGCACAGGTAGGGCTCAACCTGTGCAGAGCACATGCCCTTTTTGCCCTTACACTCCGAAGTGCCCTTTTTTGGTGATGGTGTTTTTTTTTCCTTCAATAAATCAATGATATTGGTCACCCTTTACATCTGTCTGTCTGCTTTACAAATATTTAGCTAATGAAAGGTATTAAAAAGAGCTTGTGACTAAATCTTGTTGGATCCGCTCAAACTGTCAGTAAACCTCATAACTCCGCCCCCTCTATCTTGACTGAATGAACTGAAGTTCCACAGCAGCTGCACTAGGTCTGCAAGGGTAAATTAAGATCTTGTTGTTTGAATAAGTACAGCGTTTTCTTTACGCAAGAAACACTATGTCTATAAAGGCTCATAATTTATGTATTTGAAACTGAGCGCCGCGCCCATATAGCTACAACAAACACCTGGTGATGAAAACGTAACGCCGCCGTTTTAATGACGGACAAAATGCACATTTGCACACATTCACTGGTCAAAAACCCCGTAACTGCATTTGAGTTTGACACAAAGCGACTGAGTGATCCTCGTCACCTAGGTAAAATATATTTCTAAGAAATGTATGATTGCTGATACACTTAATTTATTAACATTTAATCATATTATATGGTCGCATGGCTAATTCATGTTTACGCTGTTAATATGCATGTATTCTAGCTAGCTAATTTTTTTATCTAGTATTCTATACTCTCCGCTCG